AGCTTGTGTTTCAGCGCCTCTTATCTGCTCTTATCAGTCGTTATCACTTCCTGATCCCCTACATCATATCCCAAAATCAGCTCCTGACGACTGCTGCGATGCGTGCTATGAATTTCGTGACACACACACAGACAGGCATAACGTTTTATATATAGTAGGGGCTGCCGCCCCATTTCATACCAATACGTCCGCATTCATGTGCTCGAATCACACCGATTTGATGGGCATGCCTTTAAGCGTTAAACTGTAGGTGAAGAGGAATTCGTAGTCCAGTGATAAGGAGGAGGTTTGTTTCTCCAAAGAGCCCAAGGAGCCTTGCTTAAGCAAAGAAATTTGAAGGTACAAGTAGTGTCATACATTTGCGCTATCTCACTTCAAATGTTGTCACCCACCACAAAGGTCCCAATACTAACCTTGACAAAGGGCTATTTCCATGGAACTACAGTCTACTTCTCGAAGTCGGATTGGGCGTGTCACCGGAATTGACGTAACCTCGCCTTCAGAAGCGTTTAAGGGCAATGGTCAACCGGAAGGCTTGGTGATTCAGTGTTTTGTAGTGTTCTCTGGGACTCTCGCACATACACACTATTACAGCATCTCTGCTTTCTTTCCCTCCTTCGAAAGGCTTAGTCCCAGCAGTGTGCTTTTCTGTCTGGACTCGCACACGTTGGTTGACCGCTGCCCCGTAACCTTCAAATGACCAGAAATTGTGCAATTGCAGAAATTGACGTGGCATTAACGTGGCATCGATTCAAGAACATCTTTGAGCACACGTGATGTCACCTTTTCATCGAGAATTTAGCCACGTGTGCCACGTGGATTTCTGGCTGCATGAAACAGAGGTTACACTTGATAGAAGACGTGTGCATGAGCTGTTTCTAATATACCCGCTTGATATCAGCAAAGCATGCTGGAAGCAGCTTATCCGCGCAACTTCTATCAAGTGCGGTGGCGCCACGTCATTTCCGGTGACACGCCCAATCAGACTTCGAGATATCGACTGTACGCGTTCAATGTCGAGATGTTAGACTGTAGCATATAAGGCTTTTCACATAAACTAGTCAACGCAGTGCTGTTCGTATAATCAAGGGCGGTGAACGCGATTGCGGACATTGCACTTCCTACACGAAATTCGAGCGCGATTTCCGAAATTGCTTTCCATAGTTGGAATTTCCTGTGATTTTCTAGATCGCAGCTGTTTTTTTTTTAGTTTTGAGATATGCATGTTTACATTTTCTTCCCTCCTCAGGTATGGAGGTGGATGAGGGACCAATTACAGCTGGAGATGGAATCAAAACCTTCGTAGATGAGGTATGCGCTCACGAAGTCGATTGTTTCCGATCTTGCAAGCTTTTTTTGTGTGTTTTGAGAGACATATTCGAAGTTTTTCAGGTTGAACATACAGTGAGACAAGCTCGTGTCGCAGCGCATAGCCATGTGAAAGGCTTAGGTCTTGATCCTGTAACAAGAGAGGCTCTTCCTAATGTTAGTTCTTTACACTGTATCGAAGAACAGAAATCGGCACTATTCAACTATTACAACCCCAAAATCTCAAAATTTTATTTTTCGTCGAAACTTCCTCTATAGGGGTAATTCGGTGCCCTGATTACGAAAATGACATTCATTTTTGGCGGTGGCGCCATCTGGCGCCAGTTGGCGCCACCTTGTCACGACACATGTTTTCACCAAATTCGGTGTAAAGTTCTGTATAGGGGTTATTTGATGTCCTGATCACGAATATGACATTCGTTTTTGGACATTGCCGCTGTTTACGCATACTTCCCGCTTTTCTGGGCTCTCTCACCTATACATAGCGCTGCGGACTTAGCTTAGCGGGATCAGGGAGATCAGAAGGGTAAATAGGCATGTGTGACAAAGTTGGCGCCGTGATGAGATCACAGGCGTGGGCAATGAAGCTAAACTCGTAGCCCGGGCGGGCCCCCATCATCACGTCTAAAAGCTTAGGCCCTGTTCAGAGATGTCCGCCGGCGCGAAAAAACGCACAGGCGAAAATCTCCGCCAAGATTTAGATACGCATCGACTGAGAAATTGTGAAACGCGTAAGCGAAACGTCCGGAGCAGGCGAATTTCAGTCAAGAGTTTGATATGTATCGACTGTGAGAAACGCACAGGCGGAAAATCGCGTGAGCGAAGCGTTCGTAAGTCGATGCGTATGATACTCATTTTCGTCGATCCTCCCACTTCACGATTCGCCTGTGCGTCTTCGTTCAGTCGATACATATTTCACATTGTTTCGCCTATGCGTTTTTTCGCGCAAGCGGACATCTCTGAACAGGGCCTTAGTTTCTGATTCACAAATCACTAGGAGGCGCAGACGAACAGAATAAGGCACCAAATGGAGCTAGCGCCAAGAATGAATGTCATATTCGTATCAGGACATCAAATAACCCCTGTACAGAACTTTACACCGAAATTTGGTGAAAACATGTGTCGTGACAAGGTGGCGCCAGATGGCGCCACCGCCAAAAATGAATGTCATTTTCGTAATCAGGGCACCGAATTACCCCTATAGAGGAAGTTTCGACGAAAAATAAAATTTTGAGATTTTGGGGTTGTAATAGTTGAATAGTGCCGAAACTTCTTACTGTTCATTTCATGTGTGTTGCGCCTCTCGGCTGAAGCTAAAGACATTGTTATTATTTGTTCTAAGCTTAAACCTTGGATAGTCTCTGTAAGCTCTTCCATAGTCGATCATCCGATCGTAACGATGGGGACTCGTCGGACGATGGATATGTATCTAATTCGGTGTGATCATTACGAACAAACGAAAAACTATGGAAGTGCCCGGGGAGGAGCTCAAGCATTAATAAAGGTTAGTGGATAACTTGCTGTATGAAAAGATCGTGTACTTACAGGCGGGAGGGCTAGTAGGACAAACGCTTGCGCGCACCGCTGCAGGAGTATTTGTTGATTTGGTCAAAATGAAGAATATGGCCGGAAGGGCGTTACTTCTCGCAGGACCGCCGGGAACAGGTATGTTTTGAGTTAAAGAGTAGGGGCTCAGAGCGAGGGGGAGGGTATGGGATGCGACAATTCATATCACCTGAAGTAATTCAGTTTTTACAGGGACGAAACATTGAACCCTCTGGGGAGAGTGTAAAAACGGAAGCGAAATAGTTCATGCATCCCGGATTTCCTTCCCTTCAGAAATTGACTTCGGCAACTGTTGCACCGCAGCACCCCCCCCCCTTATGAATGAGATCCAAAGGGTTCTCTTATCCGCATTATTTCTCTGCCTTCCCTCTATATGAACGCTATTGTCTTGCGCATTTATGGTGTTCCTGTGAACAAACTGGTTTAATCGATTTTCGCCTCTTGTATGTATGCGCTACATTTCTGTTGTCATTCGAAATTGTCCTACTCATCGTATAAGATTAGTTTGGAGTATAGGATCAGTTTGAATAGCTCAAGAAATATCTATCTAACCACTTTACGGATGCAATGGTAAAGTATTGCTTCCCTTCAAGAGTTATAGTTTCTGCCTGTATTTGGGCTTTTTTCGTATTCCCTTTACCATACCAAATGTTACAGGGAAAACAGCTATTGCTCTTGCGATCGCTCAAGAGCTGGGAGACAAGGTTCCATTTTGTCCTATTGTGGCATCTGAGGTATATTCCAGTGAAGTGAAAAAGACTGAAATTCTCATGGAGAACTTTCGAAGAGCAATAGGTAATGCCTTTTGTGACATAATCTTGTACATTTCTTTGATTCGTATATTTTTAAGGATTGCGCGTAAAAGAGAAGAAAGAAGTGTATGAAGGTGAAGTGACAGAACTTACTCCCGTCGAAACAACGAATCCACTTGGTGGATATGGTAAGTCTTCCAAGATCGTAAATCTTAATACCACTATGAAGCCCTTAGAGGAGCTTCAAGGAATAGAAGTCTAAGATGTTGCTTGTGGTGAGACATTGTTTGGTGCTACACATGAGTTCTTTAGTGGCCGTGGTCATTCCATTTATCTTTTTTGGTATTGGTCATCATTACTTTCAGTCCCTTTTCTTCATCATTGTAACGGTTTCTATTTGTAAGGAACTTGTTTAGGAAAAACTATCTCTCATTTGGTCATCTCATTGAAAACCGCGAAGGGAAGCAAACAGCTGAAGCTCGATCCGAGTATTTATGATAGTATTCTTAAGCAGAAGGTTGAAATCGGTGACGTGATCTACATTGAGGCCAACAGTGGTGCAGTCAAAGTACGTTTTCTTCTTTTGTTTTGCTCCAAATGGACCCTGAATTGAAAGGAGTTTCTCATATAACTGTTTTTCCTATTTTTGGGCCATTTTTCCTTTCAAATATTGGTTTAGTCCTTGCTTGAATTCGATTTCTGATAACTACGATTCTATTTCAGCGTCTGGGTCGCTGCGATGTCTATGCATCAGAGTTTGATCTTGAAGCTGATGAGTTCATTCCTCTTCCCAAAGGTGATGTTCATAAGACCAAGGATCTTGTTCAGGTAAGGACAAGTCGTTTTTCATGAGTCCCACTTAGAGCAAT